GGGCTGCCACATAATGCAATTTTAATCCTCATCCAATATATTCCTAATTAATTAGGTAATATCCCATTACCCACATAATTAAGAATTATCTTAACTTACTTAAAATACTATTCACTTTTAACATACCTTGTACACCTTACTATCACGGTCATATAGTACCTTGTATGACATTAGTCCATAAGTACCGAGTGTTATTGCTCGGATTATATTTTATCCCAAATCAACAACCTTCAATGAAACTCATTTTCTTTGATTCATTTACCCTTTATCTTTCACGGCAGTTACTTATTGCTTGTTGTAAATAGCATATATGCTTATAATCTCAAGAAAATCTCATCCCCGATTCTACACCAATTAACTGACGACGAAACTTTAACATACGAAAATGCGAGATGTAACATCTCATTTCCGAGCTTCCATCAATTTACTTATGGCGTACATTCATGTACAAAAACATGGGGTGTAACAATATACACTTGACTATTACTTAATTAACAAGAAAAGATCATACATAGTACTATTATCACAAGATTTAGTTCAATTAATCACCAAGTCCTAATAGGATTTAAGAGTACTAACAATATAGAAAACATTCTCAACTACCTAAGTCATGAGAGACGGAGTTCATTAATATAACTGATTTGATAACAGTAACAAGACAACATAACTTATCAGGAAGATCCTTAATTCAACAGTGATAGTGATATGCAGAAGGAGAACGTAGCACGTATAGTCTTACGTCACTAATATATATCATAAAAAATGAATGATTAACAGGGAAAATATCATGAACATAGGACTACACAAATAATTTAAAATAAAGATGGGGTCATTGTACACTGACCTTCTGTTGAGCAGCAAACCAAGCCAGATGTGCTAATATCCATTTAAGAACCCAGAAGTCACAACGATCAACTCACAGAGGTTGAAGCCGAACCTAAATTAAAGGAAGAAAAAAGTGAAATTAGAGAAGTACAGCTTGAACTTAAACTTAGTTGAAAGTTTAAACTTTTAATACTCTTTTTTACTTTCAATGTAGTTTTTCGTTGTTTTAGGTGATGTAATTGAATGCTCTATTTATAGTGGCATTGAAGCCACCTAGGGTTCCGTTCGAACTCAACCGACAGTAGAGAATGACGATTGACAGATGATTATAGCAAAAAGGTGAAAAACATAAGAAAAAGAGGGGGAAAACAATGGGAATTTTACCTTAGCACGATAATGGTTGAGGTTGATTGTTGAAGAAATCGGACCATCGGTCAAAATCTAATGTCTAGAGGTCATTGCATCTGACTTCTGGACAACAATTAATGATGATGAGGCCAAAGATAATGTCTGTGCATGCCTACAATTGAAAATTTTAAGAAAGGATGATCTTGTTGGATAAAAAAATCTTGGGTTACTGAGGATTTGGGAAAGGGATCAGCAGGATTCGCAGCTTACAGGAATAAAATGTATGTTTAGGTTTGATTGGAGTGACCTTTCACGATTCATGCAACGTGTGTTCATTGATGGGGTTGCAGGATTTGAGAGAACATGGAGAGAAAGTGGAAACTAGGACGGCCGGTGTTGAGGAAACGATTACGGTTAGGCGTGTTATTTAGATTAAAAGTGAGATATGTAATGTGAGTAGTTGGATCTTTTGATCAACGTCTCCGAAATTCGGAGAATAAAAATTAATAAAATGGTTTATTACGAAAAAACGATGGTCGTCCGATCTCTTTGATCCAATGGCTAAAATAAAATACTAAAGGATTTTAAAAATAAGAGAAAAGTTGAGCTTAATCATGGACCGTTGATATCAACGGTCCAGATACATTGTGCTTTTTGTGTGAATGTTGGAGAGAGGTGACATGGCGCTTTTCGATTGGCTTAAAAAGGGTAGCATGGATTGGCAACTTGGATAGAGGTGGGGGGTTCCGGACAGGGTCAAGGCACTTGGGCTTGTGTGTTTGGGCCAAATCAACTATGTAAGGATTTAATTGATAGCCACATTTAGTTTAATTAATGAATTGTAATTGTAGTCTTTTTGAGTTTTTAACCTCGTTTATAATTAAATTAATTTTACTTGATTAATCCTAATTAGATGTAATAAAATATAATTATTCAAGTATTTTATTAATTACTATAATAATTAGTTGTTGACATTAAATATAATACTTCATCCATTAAACTGTGTAAACTTAGTTTGGCTAACTAAAGTAATAAAGGTAATATAGTTATAAATTTGAGACTATTTTTTTATATTAATTTTAAAAATTGTTCATTAATATATGAGAGTTATTTTAATTAATTTAAACAATAGGAATAGTATATTTTATAAATGTCTAATATAAATTACTATTAATTAAACATTGCTAATTGTTATTATGTATTAAATTATTTAAATTTTAAGAAAAAAGGTATTATTGATTCGAAAATACTTTACTATATTTATTGCTGATTAATAAGTGTAAATAATTTAATGTAAAAGGGGAGGGTAAAAATTGATCGTCAACAACTGCCCTTCTTTGACATGAGACGATAAAAGATTTTGCTGGCAAAGAAATTGACTTAATGACTAATTTTTCCCTACTTTAGGCATGTATTGCAAGGATGGTGTATGGAATTAGGAAAGATCATGAGTGGTGAGATTACTGCCGAATTATGGCTTTGAGTCTCCTACATATCTCGAGCTTAACGAGGATCAGGCCTCATATAGTTCTGGATGGTGATTTGGATAGAATTGTGCTTGCAGCAGTTGGCCCACTATCGCCTTATGACAATACTGCAAGATGGGAAGATTTCAAAACCTAATGACTTTTAAATTGCAGCTTGATTATAAGATTTTAGAAGTTTGACATTTTTGGAGTTCTAATAATCGAATTGAATTGGAGATTAGATCCTTGGCTCGCTTATGAGTTTGTTGTCCCTCATAGAGGTGTAACTTATTTGGCTACTTAGAGAAAGTTCCACGTTGTAGTGTTTGAACCTGCAAAAGCAAGATACACACATACCTAGATATTATAATGCAAATATGTTAGGTTATAATGTAAATATGCAGGAATCATAATACCTGACTATCGGTTAGTCGTTATTCGAGATCTTTGGGTAATGGGATGTTTGAATCTGAAGCCTCTATGCTCTGGAGAATTATTTAGGATAGCCGGGGAAGGGTGTTTGAATCCGACTTTAATGTTAGCCGACTGTGTACTTTTTCGCAACTGTCAGAGCATTTGAATATCCACGCGATGGGAGTATTTGACTTCAAATTTCCTAGTGATGGGAATTTCGGCATTGAATTTGAATCTCCACGCGATGGGAGTATCTCCACGTGAAGAAAGTATTTGACTTTGAATTGCAATCTCCACAAGATGTGAGTATTTGAACTTTGAATGCAAAATGCTTCTAAGCTGAATAAATAAAACGCAAAAAAACTCTAGGTAAATCAAAGGAATAAATGAGAATGCCAAAGATATACTCTTAACTTCAGAACTAATTTGTGGTCGTCGATCACCGGAACGTCTGGTGAAATTAAATGATCCATCCTTCTATTGGCGACGTCGGGGATGAGATTTGCAACGATCTATTTGGAATCTACGATTTGGCAGAGTAACGGTATAATATGTACAAAGTGCTCAGATTGGAAGAGCTGATGATGCAGTTTGTACAAAGCACTTCGACTGGCGGGGAAGACGACATGATATGTACAAGGTGCTCCGATTGACAGAACAGACGGTTTGATATGTACAAGATGCTGCAATGGACAGAACAAATGGTTTGATATATACAGGGTGTTCCGATTATGTTGGAGGCTTCGCTCCAGGAAACATGCAACGAATTCAAAGTTAGTCCTTAGCTATATAAGAAAATGAATTGAACAATTAAAGGTGAGATATAGGCTCATGAGATTGTAGCGGGTGTGCATTGATTCTGGTGCATTCTGGCATCCTTTGATTTCTGTCAACCATGCGATCAAAGAAAAATTCTTAGTAGGGGAGGGGCATTGATTTGTGTTTATCGTGAACCCTTGCCTTGCCCCGAAATTGGTAAATTACGCCACGACGTTTGGTAGGTGGAAAAGTTGAATTTTCTTTAAAATTCATTTTGAAAAATTGTTTATGTTAATGACAAAAGTCGTCATTCCTGATTATGACATGTTTAGAAGTTTCCTCTGACGCAAATATCGTTTCTAGATGGCTCTGCCTTGATGATGACGTTGTCTCAGACATGTCCCCAACGACGTGACTTCGTTGCTAATTCGATCGCTTTCTAATCAATGTAATGCATTACAAAATCTTTCCTATGGTTATGGGCAAACTTTTCCAGGTTGCATACGTATACGAATGGAATCTTGTCTAAACATAGTTGGAGGATATGAAATAATAGAATGATGAAATGAAATGACCGAGCCTAACTTAGGTAGCCTACGTATCCAAATGGAATCTGGTCAAAACATAGTTTGATTACAATAGATGACAAATGGTAGAATTTGAAATGATATGGCCGAGTCTGACTCAGACTGCCCATGTAGGCAAATGGAATCAGGCCAAAATATAGTTCAATTATAATAGATGTCTAAATCCGATTTGGATTGCCTACGTATTCCCGCCAAAAAAATCTAGTCGTGACGTAGTCCCGAATACATAAAAATAATTCTTTGGTTTTCAATTACAAGAGTTGGATCATACCCTATGTGGATTGCCTACGTATCCCACCGTAGGAAGTCAGGTCGGGCGTAGTTTTATTACAACAAAAACCTAACTCTGCCATCCATTTCTGCTATGATTAATGCTCCTCCCGTTAATAACTGATGGACCACATAAGGATCTTGCTAATTTGGTGCAAACTTCCCCTTAGCCTCTTCTTGATGGGGGAATATTTTCATCAAAACCAGTTTTCCCGGTATGAACTACGGAGGTTTCACTCTCCTGTTGAATGCGTAGGCCATCCTATTTTGATACAGCTGACCATGACATGTTGTGTCCATCCTATTTTCATCAATGAGAATGAGTTGTTCTTGTCTGATACGTATCCACTATCCATCATCTAACTTGGCTTCCTGTATAATTCTCAAATATAGTATCTTGACCTCTACGGCTATTACAACTTTTGTGCCATATACCAATATATATGGCGTTGCCCCAATAGATGTCCTCCTAGTAGTGTGGTAACCAATTATGGCAAATGATAGTTTGTCATGTCATTTTCTGTTATTGTCCACTATCTTCCGCAAGATCCTCTTAATATTTTTGTTGGCTACTTCAACTGCTCCATTCATATGTGGCCTGTATGTTGTGGAATTACGATGGATGATTTTGAACTTATCGCAAATCTCGCTCATGAGATTGCTATTGAGATTGGCTGCATCGTCATTTATAATTAACTTTGGAATCCCAAATCGACAAACTATGTTGTTACAAATCAAATCTACTACCACCTTCTTTGTGACAACCTTGTATGTGGGAGACTCGACCCATTTGGTGTTGGTGAATGTTTTCTCTTCCGCATCTTCTTTGTGCATCAGAATCTAGTGATATCCAACAAAACTATCCATGAATGATTGCAATTCATGTTTTGCACTGTTGTCAATAATGATATGGATATTTGGCAGAGGAATATCATCCTTGGGACTAGCCTTGTTGAGATCTCGGTAATTCACGCGTATCCTAAGCTTCCCCTCCTTCTTCGGTACCGGTACGATGTTCGCTAACAAACTAGGGTAATTGGTGCCCTTACTACATTTGATTACATTTGTTTGGTAACTTCTTCTTTAATCCTTAGACTCAAATCTGGCTTGAATTTTCTAGGTTTTTGGCTGACTGGTGGCTTGGGGGAATTGATAAGCAATCGATGCTACACAATATCGGTACTTAGTCCGGGCGTGTTGTCATATGACCAAGCAAATAAATCGATGTATTATGGGAGGAGCTCTACCAGTTCTTTCCTCTGTTCTACCTTCAGGCGGATCCCGATTAGAGTCTCTTATACATCTTCCTCATTTCGCAGATTGATCACATTTGTCTCATTGAGGTAGGGCTTCTTTTGATTTTTCAGCTATTCGATCTCTTGCAATAGATTCTCAGGTATCATGCTCTCAGAGTACTATTCATAGTCTGGATCATTTGGCTCGAGGGTTTCATTACATGTCATAATCGTGGAACGTAGTTTTTTTATTAATTTGATTGCTGAAAAAGATCTATTATAAATAAAGACAAAGATAAATTTGCAATGATTTTCAAGAAAATGATTCGTTTATTTCATCAAAAGGAATGTCTCACTGTTCAAAGAGGTGGTTTAACAAAAACGAACATGCATGGTTCAAGTCTCAATTGACCATGTAGTTTTCAGAATTACTACAATTCCACACTACCACGACTCCCGACGAAACAAAGATGATCCGACTGTCCAGTTCTGCAAGGTTTCTCGTGGTTCAACACCCTGAATGGTCGGTGTCTTGATATCAACTTTAACGTAACATTCTTCGGTCATTTCCACAAACAATCTTCCCAGACTGCTTATGATATCTTCTTCTGGTGGTGAGCTCTGACCCGGGCCCGAAACATTCTCTAGTAAGAAAACATTCGTCCCAGGATCACCATTGTATGTTTTTCCACTCGCAGTTTGGTATCCCAA